AACAAATCTGCTTCCAGTTTGCACCTGTTGAAAGTGATATTTCAACAAGCAGAAACGGTGTGGCATGGAGTAGGGACAATCCAGGCCTTAGCAGCCTAGAGGAGGGGGCCATGTAGGAGGGAGGAAGGCGCTGAGTTGGGGCCGTGGGAGGTAAGGTGGGCACTCTGAAGTGCCCTGGGCAGCATCCGGAGGGCACAGGGAGCTATGGAAAGCTAGGGGGGTGGGGCAGGGCCAGACCTGGGTGAGGGAGGCAGAGTCTGGCCATAGCGGGCTGTCATCTGGGCTGGGCTGAGCCTCTGGATGCTGCCCTGTCCCGCAGAGGTACCTGGATGAGGCCGAGCGGGAGAAGCAGCAGTACATGAAGGAGCTGCGGGCCTACCAGCAGTCAGAGGCCTACAAGGTGTGCGCTGAGAAGATCCAGGAAAAGAAGATCAAAAAAGGTGAGTCTGCTGGAGGCCAGTGTGTGGCACCTGCCCTGCACGGTGTTGACCCCTGCCCAGGCAGAGGTCCCCTCCATGGAGAGAAAGGACACATAACCGGCTACATATGCATGAGGGTCACTCGGTGCTGCAAAGGGGACCACGTGGGGAGCCCGAGCCAGGATGAAAGGGAACTGACGGAGGGGAGGGCGGCGGACAGCCTGTGCCCAGGTGGCCACTGGAAGGCTGATCCTGCCCTCCTCCCTCCCCCACCAGAGGACTCGGGCTCCGGGCTCATGAACACTCTCTTGAATGGACACAAGGTAATGAGGTTCCCCTCCTGGGACAGCATGCTCCTGCGAGAGAGATCTGGAGGTTTCTAGACCCTCTCGTGGATGTTAAGTGACTGCCATCTCCCGGAACACCCAGGGGGTGGGTCTGCCTTCCCTCCAAACTGCCACCTTGTCCTTTTGCCCAGGGTGGAGACTGTGACGGCTTCTCCACCTTCGATGTCCCCATTTTCACTGAAGAGTTCTTGGACCAAAACAAAGGTGAGCATCAATGGAGTCCTTAGGGGCCAGCGCACGGACGTGGGTGCTGTGCTCCAGGGTGGGCCCAGGGGTGCCCCGGTGGGGAGAGGGTTGGCGGGGTCCGCCTCCTCTGAGCTGGGGGCTGGTGCGGGGCCGGTAGCACCGCTCGGCCAAGGCTGAGTGGCGGGGTCGCTGGGCCAGCTCCAGGCTCTAACCCGCTCCCCGGCCGGCTGCAGCGCGGGAGGCGGAGCTGCGGCGCCTGCGGAAGATGAACGTAGCCTTCGAGGAGCAGAACGCGGTGCTGCAGAGACACACGCAGAGCATGAGCAGCGCGCGCCAGCGCCTGGAGCAGGAGCTGGCGCTGGAGGAGCGGCGGACGCTGGCGCTGCAGCAGCAGCTCCAGGCCGTGCGCCAGGCGCTCACCGCCAGCTTCGCCTCGCTGCCTGTGCCGGGTGCGGAGCGCCGCGGGTCGCCGGCCCCCCGCCCCCGCCTCTAGCCCCGCCCAGCCCGCCACAGACGACCCGAGCGCCCCAGCCCCCAGACGCCGACCTAAACTCGCCGCTCCTGGCCCGGTCCCTTCTGGCCGCGCCTTCTTTCCGGGTCCCCCAACATCCCTGGCCGGCCCGGGAGCCCCGCCCCTTTGACCTCCCCCAGCTCCCCCAGACCACGGGAGCCGCCCCTCGCCGCCCCTCCGACTTCAGGCCCTTCCGGCGCAGAGCCCGGAGCCCTGAGCCCTGCCCTGGGGCCCGCCCCTGCCCTGCCCTCCCTGTCCCGCTAACCCCTCCCCGTGCCCTCTAGCCCCGCACCCCACTCCGTGGGGTCGTCCGCTCTTATAGCCCCCACCACCACCACTAGCCGGGTTCCCCACAAGACCCTGCCATCCAGCTTCCTGCCCACAGCTGACCTTGATGGCCTCCTGCCGCCTCCATATCCAGACAACCCAATCCCGACCTAACCCCACTATTACTGCCGGTGACTCCCCTCGCAGGACCCCTTCCTGCAGAACCCCTGTCCTCTGCCCCAAGGAGCCAGTCCTGTGAGTCCTGGGGGCTGCTGACCACCTGCCCGCCTTCCACAGGCACTGGCGAGACGCCGACGCTGGGCACGCTGGACTTCTACATGGCCCGGCTGCATGGGGCCATCGAGCGTGACCCAGCCCAGCATGAGAGGCTCATCGTCCGCATCAAGGAGATCCTGGCCCAGGTCGCCAGGTCTGTGCCTGGTTCTGTGGCCTGGACCCCAGTTTAGCTACCAGAGGGGTCCCTGGGGAGTACTGGAGGGGCTGGTAGGGCATAGCCTTGTCAGGTGGGGTCCACTTGGGTCCACAACGTCCCCTAATCTCAGGGTAGATCCTAGGTGCCCAGGTTAGTTGGGTTCCACTCTGGGAGGAGCTGGGGGGCCTGGCCTCTGGGTTTCCTGGGAATGGTGGGTGCTGAGCCCTGATGTGGGGCCTCCTCTCTCCCCTTACAGCGAGCACCTCTGAGGAATGGGCCGCTCACGACGCAGATAAGCAGCTCTGGGCTCATCTCTATCCCCACCCCAGTGAAGGAGAGGCTGGGGGTCCCCCCATAGGGGCTAGGCCCCATTCTGCACCTTGGGGGCACCAGCCCCCCTAAAATTAAATTTCTACAATATCCCTTTAGCTTTCCGTCTCCCCAGCTTCTTGAACCCAGAGGAACCACTGGGCATTGGAGCTGAAGCCAGACCCCGTGGCCGCAGAGCTAGAGAGGCCTGCTCCCCTCTTGGGGCTGGCCGCAGGGCAGGACCCAGACAGGACTGCTGCACACCTGGTGGGGCTCTGTGGCCACCCACCACACGATGTGGGACCCCGAATTGCTCACCAAGAGGGCGGCACAGTGTGCCTTACAGGCAGGGGGCACCCTGGTGACCACTTTCACGGGTGGGCCCCCAAATCCCTGCACGCCAGGGAAAGCTGTGCAAACCCCTTGTCCAGTAGAGGGACCTCGGGAGCCAGACCTTTCCCCAACTCAATCCCAACATCTGCAATAAACACAGTAGAGTTTGCGTTCAGGCTTGTGAGTGTGCAGTTTCTGGGGTATGGATGGCCAGGAGATGCACACAGGACCTCTGTGACACCAGCAAGGGACATCAGGCCTGCCCTCCTACCTCCACAGAGCAGCATCCACCCCGCGCTCCTGGGGCGGCCGGTGGGCTCAGCACAGAGGGGCTCAGGAGGTTGCAGGGGTCCGTGGCCATCCAGCTGGTCTCCTGCCGTGGTGGGACCGTGCTGTGTGCCCCTGAGCTGTGGCTACCATCTCAGCCCTTATGAAATGACGCTTCTGTGGCATTGAGCTCATTCACAATGTTAGGCCACCATCATTTCTACTGACTAGCAGAACATTCTTACCACCCCAAAAAGAAGTCCCATCCCTATGAGCATCCGTGCCCCAGTCCCCCAGACCCTGACAGCCAGACTCCACTTCCTGTCTCTGATTCAGGCACTTCCTGTGAGTGGACTCCCACCCACACTGTGTCCTTTTGTGCCTGAGCTCAGGCTGAGTGCCAGGTCCTCAGATCCACCCACACTGTGGCTGGTATCATGTTTGGCAGGTCGGTTGGTTGGTTGTGGTCCTGGGCATGGAACCCAGGGGTGCTCTGTCACAGCTACATTCTAAGCCCTTTGTGGTTTTGAGACAGGGTCTTACCTGGCATGTATGCGGCCCTGGATTCAATCCCCAGCCCTTCAGGGCAAGTGAGAAAAAAAGGGATCCAGGCCCTCAATAAGTTACCCAGGCTGGCCTCCGACTCGGCCCTCCTGCCTCAGCCTCCCGGGTACCCAGACGTTAGGCGTGAACCCCTCCCTGGCTTCACTCGGCAGCTTTCTAAGCGATAGCAACTTCTCCTTCCTGCCCAAGGCCTCCTGGAACTTGCTTCCCACCAATGATTGGTTCATGAGATTCCTCGGCAGCAGGAGGCTGCTCCAGGCTCTGCCTTGTGGCTGTGTGCCACGCACGGGACAGGAGCAGTGTCACAGGCCAAGATACCTGTCTAGGAACCCTGATGGATGCCCAGGTGGTTCCAGCCCCACAGCCCCAGGGGGCTGCAGGCTTCTGTGCTGGGTATCCTTGTCCTCACCAAAGACTGCCTGAGTGCCCGCTCCGTGCAGCAATGCTGCAGGAATAAAGGACACCAAGGGGGGCGGGCTGGGGTCGTGGCTCAGCGTCGAGCGCTGCACCTGTGAAGTGCTGAGCTCGACCCTCAGCACCACATAAAAACAGACAAATACAGAGATAAACGTATTGTGTCCAACTACAAAAATGATAAGAATTAAAGAAGGACACCAGGCCCAGGAGGCCCAGGAGCTGAGCCTGTAGACAGGGACGCAGGCAGGACACGGGGAGAAAGTGAACTATCTACCGTCTTTAGATGCTGAGGAGACAACGCTGGGGAAGGTAGGTTTAGAGGTGGTGCAAGCAGGAGGTCAAAGTCCTGAAAGAGGTGGGGAGAAAGCGGACCCTGCAGGGCTCTGGGGAGGGTGACCCAGGCAGAAGGCCGGCTGTGCTCTGGGGCAAGGCTTTGGAGGCAGAGTCAGGAGTTTGTGTGGCTGGAACAGGGGGGAGAGGGAAGGGGGAGGCAGTGAGGGGACAGGAGAGGTCCTGCAGGGTCTCCTGGATCACAGGAGGACTTGGGCTTTGACTCAAAAGGAAGTGGGAGCTATGGAGGGCTGTGGGCAAAGGAGAGACGCCCGCCTGGCAGGCAGCTCACGTTATACCAACATAACGCCCCTCCCCATCTCTTAAGTCTGTTGCAAGAATTAAAGAACCCAAGCAGCAGAGAGTGAGTGCCAGGGCACAGAGCTGTCCCCGACCTTATTTGTGATCCTTGTTATTTCTGCATCTGCATCTCAGGCCCCTGCGGGCTGCCAGACGTCCCCACGGAGGGTGCAGCTGGCCCTGGCAAGGCCCGGACACCTGGGGCCCGTGCCCCCCTCCCCACCCCATGGTGTCGCCTTCCCGGGCGGCTCGGGTTCCCGGATCGCCTTACCAGGGCGACTCGGCTATCGCGCCCTGGACAGGGGGAGGGGAGGCTGCAGGAAGCGGTGGATCCGGAGGCGGCGGCGGCAGCCTGGGTGGGTGGAGGAGCTCCTCCGGCCATGGAGAGCGCTGCTGCCCGCGAGGCCCCGGGGGCTGAGACCCCGCGCGCCCCCGTGCCCCCGCCCTCCCCGGCGGAGACCCCAGCCGAGCCCCGCGTGCGCCCGCGCCTCGTCTTCCGCACGCAGCTGGCGCACGGCAGCCCCACCGGCAAGATCGAGGGCTTCACCAACGTCCGCGAGCTCTACGCCAAGATCGCAGAGGCCTTCGGAATCGCGCCCACCGAGGTGAGTGCCCCCCACCCCGATTCCCGCGACCGAGGTGCCGGGAGGAGCGGGGATAGGGACAGAGCCTGGGCCCTAGACGGGGGCCCGCGGATCCCAGATTCCTAGGAAACCTCGGGTCCCAGGACCCCCGGATGCGGGGAGCTTGCGGAGGTCGGTTCGCCAGATCTCAGGAATGCTCCTCTGGATCCGAAGGTGCCCTGCGCAGAAGATTAGCAGGTCTTGGGTCAGGAGCGCCCACTCCGTGGACCCAGCTAGGATGGATCCCTGCCTCCGGGAAGAGCTCCCCGAGTTCCTGGGCGCCAGTGCCTGGGGTCCGGAGGTCCGTGGCTCTGGAGGCTGGGAGCTGGTGCTTTCCAAACAGGTCCTTGCACTGTGCAGCCCAAAGGGGGCGCCATGAAATTCCATTTTTCTGAAGAAAAAAAAAAAAACCTCCTCCGGGGTTTAACATGGAAGTCGGGGTTCGGGAGGTGGCGGAGAGGGACCCCTTGTGTCCGCAGCTTCCTTCTCTCCCACATCCCCATTCTGAGGTCCCAATCCCGGCCAATCCCCACGGGCTGCCTTTGGACCTCGGTTTCGTCGTGGGGCTCTGCATCCACGCACCCCAGGGTGGTGCAGAGTCGAGGGCTGAGGCGAACTCGCCCCCCCCTCCCACAGATCTTATTCTGCACCCTCAACAGCCACAAGGTAGACATGCAGAAGCTTCTGGGTGGACAGATAGGGCTGGAGGACTTCATCTTTGCCCATGTGCGCGGCGAGACCAAGGAGGTAGAGGTCACCAAAACAGAAGATGCCCTGGGACTGACCATCACAGACAATGGGGCTGGCTATGCCTTCATCAAGGTGCCTAGGGTGGGCCGGTCACTTCCTGGGTGTTTGGGGATCTGACTTGAGTGACTGCCTCTCTGGATCTACGTAGGCTCTGGGGACCCAAGGGAGGTGGCCGGGTTGCCTGAGAGCAGCTCTGGGTGCCCACAGAGGATCAAGGAGGGCAGCATCATCAACCGCATCGAGGCAGTGTGTGTGGGCGACAGCATCGAGGCCATCAATGACCACTCCATCGTCGGCTGCCGCCACTACGAGGTGGCCAAGATGCTCCGGGAGCTGCCCAAGTCCCAACCCTTCACCCTGCGCCTGGTGCAGCCCAAGAGAGCCTTCGGTGAGAGCCACCTGGGCTGGCGGGGGGAGCGACCAGAAAGTGGGCACTTGGGACAGTGGAGGACGGGAAGGGGCGGGGTGGACGGTGTGGAGGGCCGGGCTCAGGGGCAAAGTGCCTGCCTGGACTTGGGGCCCTGGGCTCCACCCCCAGCATCACACACACAGAGGACATTTCTAGATGCCTCTTGTGCATGGCAGGCTCCTGGCACTGTATCCAGAACGGGCAGGGACTTTCTAGACCACCAGAGGGTCAGTTGTGGGGGAGGACAGGGGAAAGCTCGGGCAGAGGGGTCAGATAAGTCAACTGTTTGACCGGCTGAGAGCTTGTGAGGTGGCCCCGTGACACCCTGGAGTGTTCTAGGAAGGTGCTTTCAACAGGGAATCTGAGACTGGCCCCTGGGAGAGGCAGAAGCTTGCTCCAGATGGTGGCTCTCGGCCTCGGCACTGTGGACACCGGGGCTGGACCCTTCTCTGGAGGGGTGTCCTGGGCACTGCAGGGTGCTGAGCAGCATCGCTGGCTTCCATCCATTCCGGCCAGGAGCACACGACAGCCACAGATGTCAGACATGGCCCAGGGTGCCTGGGGACAGGTCCACCCTGCTGGGGCCTCTGTTCTAGAATGTGCACCATCACGGCCACTTCCTCCTGTGGATCAACATGGGCTGCCCTCCTTGGCCCATCGTGGGCAGCCCTTTGGGTGGCACCATTCTAGGGTGACAGACTCCAACGGTGCCTGGCACATGGTGGAGGAGGCCCAGGAGACAGGAGCGGGGGGCTTAGATCTGTCTAAAAGGAAGAGCCACTTCTCCAGGGAGGACCCCAACCCTCCAGCCACCGAAGGGGCGAGTCCTTTGAAGAGGCAGGTTTGGGGAAGTGTCCGGGGCAGGATGGACATGTCGGTTTCCCCCTGGCTGCTGTGTGGCTCGCTCTGGACTCGTGGCTTCGTGTCTTAGGAAGAGTGGAACTTGAATGGTCTCTGAAGGTGAAGGGCAAGAAGGTTCTAGAAAGCTCAGCTGGTGGCTTCCCAGAACACGCCTGTCCCCACTCTGTTCCCTCCAGATATGATCGGCCAGAGGAGCAGGGGCAGCAAATGTCCTATGGAAGCACGAGTGGCCAGTGGGAGGGAGACCCTGCGGCTCCGCTCTGGGGGTGCTGCCACAGTGGAGGAGGCGGTGAGTGGGGCGTCCTCCAGGGCCGGGCGCCAGGCTCCCCCGGAGCCTCCGTTCCCCTCCCATGAGGCGGGTCCTGGGAGGGGGCGGGGCCATCGGGTGGCGCCAGAGCACTGATGCTGGGTGTCCCACCTGCTCCTCCCCGGGGCGGGTGGCTGGGTGGCACTTCTCACCCTCGGCCTCCTCCCCTGTGCCCCAGCCCAGCGAGTTTGAGGAGGAGGCGTCCCGGAAGGTGGACGACCTGCTGGAGAGTTACATGGGCATTCGGGACCCAGAGCTGGGTAAGGGGCCCGGGTAAGCTGGGGGTCCCTGGAGGGAGGACAGTCCCCGGGAGGAGGCAAGGGCCCCGGGCAGCCGAGGCCAGGAGCAGCCTCACCACGTCCCTCCCGTATGGCCCGCAGCATGCACCATGGTGGAGACATCCAAGAAGACGGGCAGTGTCCGGGAGTTTGCGCGCTGTTTAGACTCCGTCTTGGGCGAGTTCGCCTTCCCGGACGAGTTTGTGGTGGAGGTGTGGGCCGCCATCGGAGAGGCCAGGGAGGCCTGTGGCTAGTCTGCCCCGGGGCCGAGTGCAGCCCCAGCCCGCAGCCCAGCCCACTGCCCCCGCCATCCCAGCCGGTGCCCAAAGGCCAGCCCTGCTCCAGAACCCAGTGGAGCTCAGAGGCCAGGTTCATCTCTAGAACCCAATCCACTTCAGAGTCCCAACCCGGCTCCACAACCCAGCCTTTCATTAGAATGCAGCCCAGCTCTGAAGCCAAACTGTGCTCCAGAACCCAGGCCAGCTCTGAGCTAGAACCCACCTCTAGATACCAGCCAGGCTCAGAGACCAAATGCAGCTCTGAGACCAAGCCTGGCTCCAGAACCCAGCTCAGCTCTGAGATCAAGTCCTGTTCTAGGACTCAGAGCAGCACTGAGACTAAGCCTGACTCCAGAACCCAGCTCAGCTCTGACACCAAGTCTTGCTCTAGAACCCAGGCCAGCTCTGAGCTAGAACCCACCTCTAGATACCAGCCAGGATCAGAGACCAAATGCAGCTCTGAGACCAAGCCTGGCTCCAGAACCCAGCTCAGCTCTGAGATCAAGTCCTGTTCTAGGACTCAGAACAGCACTGAGACTAAGCCTGACTCCAGAACCCAGCTCAGCTCTGATACCAAGTCTTGCTCTAGAACACAGGCCAGCTCTGAGCTAGAATCCACCTCTAGATACCAGCCAGGCTCGGAGACCAAACTCAGCTCTGAGACCAAGCCTGACTCTTTAATCCAGCTCAGCTCTGAGATCAAGCCCTGTTCTAGAACTCAGGCCAGCTCCGAGACCAAGCCTGACTCTTCAACCCAGCTCAGCTCTGACACCAAATCTTGCTCTAGACATCAGGACAGTTCTGAGACCAAGTCTAGCTCCAGAACCCAGCTCAGCTCTGAAACAAAATCCTCTCCTAGAGCTCAGACCAGCAGCGAGACCAAACTCCACTCTGGAACCCAGCCCAGCTCTGAAACCAAATCTTGCTCTAGAACACAGGCCAGCTCTGAGCTAGAACCCACCCCTAGATACCAACCAGACTCAGAGACCGAACTCAGCTCCGAGGCCAAGCCTGACTCCAGAACCCAGCTCATTTCTGAGATCAAGCCCCGTTCTAGAACTCAGGCCAGCTCCGAGACCAAGACTGACTCTTCAACCCAGCTCAGCTCTGACATCAAATCTTGCTCTAGACATCAGGACAGTTCTGAGACCAAGTCTAGCTCCAGAACCCAGCTCAGCTCTGAAACAAAATCCTCTTCTAGAGCTCAGACCAGCACCGAGACCATACTCCACTCTGGAACCCAGCTCAGCTCTGAGACAAAGCCCTGTTCTAGAACTCAGGCCAGCTCTGAGACCAAGCCTGTCTTTAGAACTCAGCTCATTTCCAAGACCAAGTCCTCTTCTAGAATTCAGGCCATTTCTGCGATTGAGGCCAGCTCTAGAATTCAGCCAAGCCCTGACAGCAGACCAAGTTCTGGAACCCAGACAGATTTTAAGATTCTGCTCAGTTTGGAGATTAATCGCAGTTCTGGAACCCAGTCCAGCTCTCATACTAAGTCTGGCCATAAAACTCCACCTGTCTCTATGACTCAAGACACCTGCATGGCCCGGCCCTACCTGGACACTCAGGCCAGCCTGGGAGCACCACTTAGTTTTGGACCCCAGGTGAGACTCCAGAGTAAGCCCAGCCATGGAATTCAAACCAGCTCAGGATTAAAGGTCAGCTCTCAGACAAAACCCCATCCAAGAACTCAGGCCAGCCCAGAAAGCTGGCCCCATGCTGTTGCTCAATCCAGAACCAAACCTCAACTCTACTCTAAAACCCATTTGCTTCCAACTACCTGCCCCCGTCCTGAGTCCAAGTCCAGCTCTGAGACTGGGCTCAGCTCTAGAACCCAGCCTACAGCTACAACGAGGCCCGTCTCCAGAATCCAGACCAGCACCGGCACGCCCCCTGCCCCTGAGCCCAGCTCTGGAACGCGGCACTGTGCCGAGCCCCAGTCTCCCTGCAGAGCACGGTCCAGCTCTGGGACCCAGACAGACCACACAGCCTGGCCCAGCTCCAGAGCTCAACCCAGCTCCAGAACTCGGCTCAGTTCTGGAGCACAGCCCGGTTCTAAAAACCCAGCCGGCTCTGAAATGCAGGCAGCAGCTGGGACCCAGCTGAGTTCTAGAACCCAGCTAAGTGCCAGAGTCCAGTCTAGTCCTGCTGCGACCCAGTCCAGTGCAGCCCTGGGGCTGGGCTCCAGGACCCTGTCCAGTTCTGGGAGCCTGCCAGGCTCTGGGAGCCAGCACCACCCAGGAGCTCCACCAACCTCTGGGACTCTACTGTGCTCCAAACCCCTGCCAAGCACTAGATCCCAGCTCAAGGCCACACCCCAGGCCACCTCTGGTCCTCAGGGGGACTTAGGGAAGCAAAGCGGCTCTGGAGCACAGTCTGGCTCAGGGACTCGGGCAAGGGCAAGGGTGCAGCCCAACTCTGAACCCCCTTAGCTCCAGCACTCGCCCCGGCTCTGGAGCTCCGCTCAGCTCTGAGGACCCAGGCCGGTCCCGTCCCGGATTCAGTTCAGCTCAAAAGCCCAGCCCAGCTTTAGAGCCGCCTCAGCGCAGAGGCCCAGCTGAGCTCCAGCCAAGGCTCCACCCACAGGCCCCTGGCCTTGACCCTGGAGTTCAGCCTGCCCAGCCCAGCCCCAGTCCCCAGGCCCATCGCCCAAAGCCCAACTCCAGCCCCTGGGCCTCTGCCTCAGCCCAGGATCCGGGACATAAAACCCCCCCAGGAGCCAGCCCTTTTCCCCAAGCCCCAGTTGGGGCCCCAGATGGCCACCAGACCCACCATACCTGCCACTTCAAGTCCTGTCCCCAGGGTGGTCCTGTGAGTTCCCAGCCCCCTGTGCCCCTCCCCCATGCTCAGGGAGACAGGGTCCCTCCCCCGCGATGGGTTGCTGGGGCACGACACTCTCCTGGCTCCTGCAGCCTCCTCCTCACCTGTCCCTCCCAGCCTGCCCCGCCCCCCATGAGGCAGGTGACCTCCTTTCCCAGCAGGTGGAGGGGGTAGAACGGGGCTTGGGTTTCAGGTGCCTGGAGGTGTAAGCGGACCCAGGCGGGAGGGGGAGGCGGCTGCTCTCCGCACCCTCAGGGCTCCTGGCAATAAAGGCACTTGGCACCCTGCAGCAGCCCTGTGTCACTGTGGGGCGCCCGTGAGGGGCGGCCAAGGAGAGGGGGCTGGGCATGGGTGGTCAGCGAATGCCCGCGAGCGCCTGCTGTGTGCCGTGCACTTATTGAGCTCTTCCTGGGCCTCCGAGTACCTGCCCGGGTCCCAGTGTTGTGCGGGGGCCCTGCGCCCTCCCTGCTGCGGGGACTGGAGGAAGCTTCCGCACCGTCTTGCCGCCGTCTGTGTCCCTCCCTCTCTTCTCCCGACGGTAACGGGGAGGCCGACAGCCCCGCGCCCTTCCTGGCCGAGGCCGGCCGCGTCCGGAAGCGAAGGAACACACAGCGGGGCCCAGAGATATATTTCGGCATGAAGGGGGGACCCCGCTCACACCCCAGGCAGAGCCTCCTCAGGCGGGGTTCGGAGGGAGCCCCCGGCCCCCCAGCGTCCAGGTCCTCGGCCGCGGCTTCCCGCACCTCCGCGGGGTTTCGGGAAGGGGAGCCCCGCGTTCTGAGCTCCCCCAGCCTTGCTCCTGGCCCCTCCTGGGGCGCCGAAGGGTCCGCGGCTGGGGAGAAGGGGACCTCAGAGAGGGCGGCGGCCCCCAGCGGACCGCAGAGGGGCCCCTGCTCCCGCGGCTCCGGTCCGCGGTCCACTCAGAGCCCCAGCTCCTGGGCCCTGGGGACAGGCGGGTGCCAGGTGAGAGGGGACAGGATTATGGGAGGCTGGTCCTTGCTGGCCCTACTGCAGCCTGGCGCCCTGGGCCTGCTGCGGCCGCAGGGAGAGGGACCTGGGCCGGGCGCTGAGGCGCGGGTGCAGGCGGCGCAGCACTGCGCGGCGGAACAGGATGTACACCCAGGGGTCCAGGATCTGGTTCCAGGTGGCCACGCGCAGGTAGATGAGCAGCTGCTGCTCCGTGGCCCGGGACAGCTGCCCGGCCGGGCTCATGGCAGGCGGGTTCTGCAGCACCGTCTGGGCGATGAAGACCTGCGAGGGCCAGGGCGTTAGCGGGCAGCAGGCTCTGAAATGCACCTTGCTGGGTCACCTGGGGGGAACTGCCTGACCTCTCTGAGCTGCTGCTGCTGTGTCCATGAAATAGCACCTGGGCGAGAGCAGGCACCGAAAACCACACTGCCCACCTCCCCCTCCGCAGGCTGAGCTCCCCCGGCACACTGGGAAGCACTGCTGTATTAACTCACATCTCATAAAAGTGTTTGTGGTCCTGGGGATGGGACCCAGGGGCAACAAACCGCTGAGCCACACCCTCAAACCTTTTTAATTTTTATTTGAGACACGGTCTCACGAAGTGGCTTAGGATCTTGCTAAGTTGCAGAGGCTGACTTTGAACTTGCAGTCCTCCTGCCTCAGCCTCCTGAGTAGCTGAGATTATAGGTGTGTGCCACCTCGCCCGCCAAAAGACAGTTATTTTACACATGCTATATTTCTGCATACTGTACTTGGTTATTTTAACACATTTCATTAAATATAAAGTTTATACTCGTAAAATGTAGGAGAGATGTTTTAATAAATTATTGTACAACATGATTTTTGAGAGTGACATAATAGTTACATTGTTAATGTAATTACTAGTGATGACAACTCATGGCAGGCATATAATTACATAACACGAGGAATCATGCATTATGTCGTCAAACCTTGTATAACAATGTAACTATTAGTTTTGATAACAAAGTAAATATAATTGTCTTATATTGTATAATTACAACTAATTATAATTAAAATGTAGAGTATGCTAAAATAATTCGTATTTTATTAAAATGTACTGCTACATTAAAATTACTTCCTGAGCATCTACTGTGTGCTGGGTGCCGCTGGGGACAGAGCAGAGGGAAGGCAGACCCCAGTCCCACCCTCACCAACCACGCCGGGGTCCTGAAGCTCGGCTCCTCCAGCCTGTCCTTTCCGCAGCCGCCAGAGGGCGCCTGCGAGCACCTGACTCGGGCCCCTCCTCTGCGCACAGCCCTCCAGGGCTCCCACCTCCCACCTCCCAAGCCCCCGTCCTGCCTGCAGCCACTGGCCCTGCACCACCTGCCCTGCCCCATCCCTGTTTCCTCCCACCGTCTCTCTGCTGCACCCACATGGGCTCCTCACTGTGCTCCCAACATGCCAAGCTCCTCCCCAGGGCCTTTGCTGGGCTGGACCCTCGGCCTGGAGCGTTCCTCCCCAGCTCTCCTCACAGTTCACCCCTGAGGTCTGCAGTAGCCTCCTCCTCCCCGCCCTCGGCCTCCAGGCTCCTGCAGCCTCCCTCCTTCCTCCCTCCCTCCCTCCCTTCTCTACTTCCTTTTTTTAAACTGGGGATTTGACTCCGGGATGCTCTAACCCTGAGCCACCTCCCCAGCCCTTGGATGTTGGAGTCCTCTGGCCTCGGCCTCCCCAGGCGTCACAGGCACGCCCCTCCACGCCTGGAACGGGCCCTGTTCCCAGCCCTGGGAGGTGGGCTCTGAAGGATGCCGAGGAGTCGCCTGCTGGGCAAACCAGGGCGGCTCTGGGCAGTCAGTTTTGCCCTCCGTGGTGTCTGCCCATGGACCGGCTGGTGCGCGGTCGGTGCTCAGTGAGCGTCTGCCGACCCACGGAAAGGTGGACATCTTGTCCCTTTTGTGTGTGTGGTGCTGGGCGGATCCCAGGGCCTCACGTGCCCACCTGTGCCTGGTAAGTGTCCACCAGGATCAGTGGCCCAAGGTGCCATCTGTTAACCCCTCCCCCCTCAGAGGGCACTGCCAGACTGAGGCAGTAAGCCCCTGGGCAAGGCTGGGGACCGAGCATGGCTCTGACCTGGGCTTCTCGTCCTGACTCCAGTGACAGCCGTTCAATGATAGGACCTCAGACCTTCAGTGCATGAATTGCGGCCTGGGCATTCCGGCCACCAGCCAAGCTCCCCGACCCAGGGACCATCTGGCCCGGCTGAGGTCCAGCCCGGCATCGGGCACAAGGTAGCATCAGGAAGTGAGGTTGGCCTGGTTCCACCCAGAATGCTTCCCCAGGTTTCATCTGGCAGGTGAACTCCTACTCATCCTCCAGAGCCTTAGCTTTGATGCCCTCCCCTGAGCCGCCGACCCCGGGGCCCCAGCGGCAGCCTGGAACCCCCCCAGGCTCTCAGTACCCGGATGCTCCCCTGCCCAGTCACCGAGGCGCATGGAGCCTCCCCGGAGCCCTGCCCACACTCACCAGCAGCGGCATCCAGCAGACGCTGGCCACCAGCATGATGCCCAGGAGCTGCACCATCATCTCCACCTCGCAGTCGCGCGGGCGCTGCTGGGCGGCCTCCTGCCCGTGGTAGACGTGGCACAGGGTGGCCACGCTGATGGTGTTGAGCAGGAAGGACAGCCCGACCGACAGGCCGCCGAGCAGCGCGAACAGCAGCCCGAAGGCCGCGTCCCCGAGCTGCGCCCCCAGCGTGAGGAAGCACCAGGAGCCGGGGTACTGCACGGTGTAGTGGCCCACGCCCAGCAGGGGCAGCAGCCCCAGCGCCAGCGCCGCCGCCCACACCAGCCCCACGGTGGCCCAGGCGCGGCGCTGCGAGGCGGCCGCCGAGCGGGAGAAGGGCCGGGTGATGCCCAGGTAGCGCTCGGAGGCCATGGCGGCCCCCAGCAGCAGGGGACACAGGCCGAAGAAGACCATGGCCACGCCCATGAAGTGGCAGAGGCCGCAGCCGGGGTCCGCTGTGCGCCAGTCGAAGAGCGCGGCGTGCCGGGACACCACGAGGACCCCGGTGACCAGAAGCCCCAGGAAGTCGGTGAGGACCAGGCCGCCCAGCAGGGTGAGGAAGGGGGACCGCGGGCAGCAGCTGCCCTGCCGCGCGCCGGCCAGCACGCTCAGCGCCAGCAGGTTGGAGGCCAGGCCCACGGCGCAGAAGGAGGCCGCGAACCAGGGAGAGGCCACCAGGCGCCGCTCCTCGGGCGTGGTGTTTGTTGGGCGGAAGCAGGGCCCCAGGACACTGCTGTTGGACCACATGGCGCTGGAGCCGCGTCACCACCCCATCAGGCGCAGGCTGCAGGCGCAGGCTGCAGGCGGGCCGGCCGGCACTGGCGCAGGCACACCTGGGAGGCAGAGAGGGGGAGGCTGCACTCGTCCTGCACGGTCTCCCCGGTCTCCCCGTGCCTCTGGCAACTCCTGCACAACCCTCAAGACCCCAGGGCACGCGCCCCTCCGCCCTCCCTTCGCACAGGTGCGTCCTCATCCGCTTGGACCACCCCTGGGAGGCCACCACCACTCCCACTCCAGTCTCACCGTCTCAAGGGCTCTCGAGGGCACAGGCCAGGGCCCCTCCTCAGGGGACACCAGGGGATGTTTTCTGCGTCCTAGAGAAAGGCAGGGGGTCGAGCTCCAGCCCCGGTTCCCACCATGGCCCCGGGGGTGGGGGCTCCCGTCCTGAGCGTCAGACTCGGCCTCCCGCACACCCAAGCTGGACTTGGCTGACCCCAGCACATGCTTCAGCCACTGAGGTGGAGACCCGGCCAGAGGCCGCAGCTGGGGTGCCAGCTGGCTGCTAGGCGGTCCTGGAAAGGCCCGTGGGGTCCCTCCCCTGGGTGTGCTGGGACAGGGGCGGGTCGCTGCCTGGCCACACTCTCCTGGGACGCATAGTGCGAGTCTGCTTTCCGTTTCTGTGCGTCACTTTTATAATAAGAAATAACCCTGAAGTTCCAGTTCCATGTGGGAACAAAGAGCCAGCTCCCTCGCAGGGACCCACCATGAGGGCAGTGGGCACCAGGGAGAACCCAACACCCAGCCGCTCAGACACCACGTGGGCTGCGGGTCGGCCACACAGCGAAACCAAGGCCAGATGTGGATGAGCACGAAGCAGCTCCATTAACAGCCAGCGCCCTGCAGGCCAGGGCTCGGAGGCCGAGGCCCGAGGACCAGGAGTGCGCAGCCAGCCTCAGCAACTCAGTGAGGCCCTGTCTCAAAATAAAACCAGAGGGCTGGGGACGCGGCTCAGTGGTTAAGTGCCCCTGGGTTCAAACCCTGGTACCAAAAATAAAGAAAATAAAAAAGAAAAAGAAAGAAAACTCGGCTCCTGGTTCCTGAGGACACCACAGAGGACAAGAGAGTCCAGAGCCGCCCTGAGTTGCCCGCCATCCCCAGGGGGCCAGGGCTGGGACCTGCCCTGGGCGGAGCAGTGAGGGGCACAGGCGGCTCCGGGGACCCTGCAGAGGTGGCCACTTTGCTGGAGCTGATCCGAGATTGACGGGGGCTGCTGACCAGCGACAGGGCGTGTGGGCAGCAGTCGCCTCAAGCTGGCCAGGCCAGTTCTCATGCCCTCTCCCTGCCTGGACTCCACATCCCTGCTTGGAGCCTCCATTTCCCTTCCTGGAAAGGGGGCTGAGGGGCCGGGGGCTTCAGGGCACAGGCGCTCACTCCTGCAGCCTGGGAGGTGGTGGCCGTCTGGGGCTCACTCCCGGAGGCTGAGCGGGCGGCCACTGGCCTCGCCCCAGCTCATCCTGGCCCTGGCATGTTCCTCTGGCTCGGTTCCTCCCTGCGGAGCCTTATGAATCACCCAGCTCCTGACGGCCACCATGGGCGTCCCTCCTGCCAAGAGCCAGGGCCTCTGCCACCGGAGTGGGTGGCCCCCCAGCCGGGAAACTGAGGCCCAGAGCCACAGGGCACTCCCTGAGACCACCGCGAGGGAGGCCCTGTGCTGTGGCGGGCAGGAGTGCGCTGCTGCTCAGATGGGGACTGGGGCTGGGGTTCCCCTGGGACCCCCAGCCGCCATGTGCTTTTCTGAACGTTGCCTTTGGCCACGGCCCAGCCCAGCCTCTGCCTGGAGTGGCCGCAGGTCCTGTGCCTCCTGCCCCCCACTCTGGGGCTGCAGGAGCCCCGCTCACCCTGGACGCACACCCAGGCGCCTCACACTGCTGGTGGCTGGAGCCGGGCCTGACCCCAAGCCCTTGGCCTGGGGGAGGGTGAGAACCGTCAGGGAGGCCCCCTCCGCCCTCCCTGTCCTGGGTTCAGGTAAAATGGCTGGCGGGCCAGGAGGGGGACCTGTCGTGGCCTCCTGCGTCAGCCAGGATGGACAGCAGGGGACCCCATCTGTGGAGGACCCACCGTGCTGTGTGGCCCTGGGAGAAGCTCCTCCCTCTACCTGCTGAGGGGCGGGGCCTGAGCGCCTGCAGCCAGAGTTCTTGAACCTGCAGCCGGGCCTGGAGCTGCGGACCCGGGTTCTGGAGTTCTCCTGGGCCCCGCTTCTGGAGTCCAGAGGCCTCGGGGTTCCTGAATCTGAGGGCTGAGCTTCTGGAACTCGGATGGGCGCCTGGCGGTCCCGGGTTCCTGGACTCTCTCGGCTCCTGCTCCTCCTGGGGGCAGATCCAGAGCCCTGCTGCAGGCGTCCCGGGTCGGCTGGCGCCGCCTCTGCTCCGGGTGGAATGTGCCTTCTGGTTCCCAGCCCCAGGCCCCTCCTCTGCTGGGCCCCCTCCCGCCAGCGTCACCTCGCAGCCGTGGCCTCAGCCTGGCCCTCTCCCTCTCCACACCCAGCCCCCGCCCTGGCCCCACATCCTGACCAGCCCTGCTGCTCCCAGAGAGACGCTGGCCTCAGTCCCCTCCCGGCCCCTCCAAGCCGGGGCAGAGCCCAGCTTGCCCTCCGCCTTCCCCTCTGTGAAATGGGGGTGGGCGCTCATTCCTGCAGGCATCTGGCTGCTCTGCCCCATGGCATCTGCCACCTGCCTCTGCCCTGCCTGCCCTGGGGGTGGCCGGCAGGAGTGCAGTGACCTTGACCTCTCAGGACCCCTGAGGCCTCTGACCATGACCCAGGCCAGTGCCTTCAGCTGGACCTGCAGACCTGGCCAGCCCCTGGCCCCCCACTGGACTCTGATCCAAATGCCCACAGCGTGCACCCCGCACACCCTTGCCCCTCCCAGGGAGTCAGCACTGACGGGTGCCTGACACAGGAACACACAGGTGCTGCCCGCCTCCCCTCGCCACAGGGCACAGCTTCCGGGAGTCTTTCCTGTTTGTGACACCAGGAGGCCCCCCTTATGGATGGAGTGTGTTGCAGGGCTTCCAGAGCAGTTACACTCGGTGGGGAGCCTCACTGGGTCCCCCCTCATGTGGCCCCCTCGGCCTCAGTCTCTTCATCTGCCCAGTGGGGTTCCCCCACCACAGCACAAGGGGCCGGATGTGGACCTAGGTGCTACTGGAGCCCAACACTAGAGTGATCACACCAATGGCCCAGGTGCCCAGGCACTCAGTGGAGTCGGTGGATGGCTGGGCAAACAGCTCAGCAGACAGACCTGCACACAGGAAGACACACACACAGAGCACTAAGACAAGCAGCCGAGCCTAAGGGGACAGGGACAGGCAGGCACACAGATGAACAGCAAGCCACTCACCCACTGCCCCCGGGCACCCTCCCCAGGCTGGGCACACCAGCAGGCAGCCCTCAGGATGCCCGCTGGCCCTGCCCAGGCCAAGACAGGAGCAGGGCAGGGTGCCAGGCCCCCTCTGTGCCAGCAGGGACACGGGCATCTCGCCAGTGGCCACGCCCACGAGACATACCTGGGCCTGCGGCCTCTGCAGACGCCCACCCCGCAGCCCGCGCAGACCTCACCCGGGCGGGGTCCTGGGAGCTGGGGAGCCCGAGTCTGTGCAGGGCGGCCCCCGCGTAGTGCAGGCCCTGCAGTGGGTCCGGCCAGGAGCAGGTCGCGGGCAGCCGGGCGGGGTGGGTGCGGGCCGCTGGGCAGCCTGTGCTCCGGCTCTCGCGCCCTGCCTCCCAGTCTCTGAGTCTCTGTCCTTCAACACTCACCAGCCCTGCCCCCGGCCTCGCTGGCCACGCCCCTCAGGCCCCGCCAAAGGTCGCTGGGGGGCCCCACGCCGCCAGGGACATCCCTGAGGCTGGGGCTTCAGTGGGTCCTGAGGCTGCAGGGGAAGGGGTGCGGAGCCAGGGGGCAGGGGTGCCCCTCGGGAGCTGGGCCCGGGTCCCCGGCCATCTGGGGGGACTTCCCCGCGGCTCCCGCGTTTTGTTTTTCAAGGTCTGAGCTCCGAGGGGGCGGGGCGAGCGGCTCCCCAGAGGCCCAGACCTGGGGCAGGGGCCCCGCTGGCCAACCAGGCAGGGTCGGGTCTGATACACAGTAGGTGCCTAATATTTATCGTTTTGAGGCCCCTATGGTGGTGCATGTGGAAGATGCAGGGTCAGTGGGGGAGGGTGACCTGTCCCTCCAACTAGACCCTGGATGAGAAAGGCCCCTGTGAGGAGCAGCAGGGGATCCCAGGGTGGGGGCTGGCCTTCCAGAGGTAGCTGTGGTGACAGGAGGGAGGCCAGAAGGCTAAGGCGGGGCTGGGCGGGCTCCCAGGGCAAACGGCTTGTCACAGCCCCCAGCCCCACTCAAGGAGGTGGAGGCAGGGGAGGTCTAGGCTGGGCCTGGCCCTGGAGAGGGCCTGGCAGAGAGGCGGCCTTGCAGGGGTCCGCCCTGCCCAGGGTGCCTGCCCTGTGGTGAGGGGCCCACGGCCTGGGTCACCCTCTGAGGCCCTGCACAGGGAGGGGCTGGGCTGGGGGTGCCGGGCCTCCTTGGCCTGAGCTTGGCCCCATAGGGTCTGCGTGTCAGGACGGCCATCCGGGCCCTGACCCTGCTCCACCCGTCCCCTAGGCTCCCGGGAGGAGGATGGGCTCCTGCCTGGCCTCCCCTCAGTGTCCGGAAGCCCCTTCCCCGCCCACGGCTCTTCCTGCCTCGGCGCCAGCCCACACTGAGGGCCTCTGGAGGGCTGAGCCGGGTTGCATCCCCGAGTCTCTGGGTCTTCTTAAGCCTGGCTCCTCTCTGGCTGGCAGGGAGACCCCTCCACGCCAGGCACCCGGCAGGCCCCACCCTCTATAAAGCCCCTCTAGCCCGCACTCATGCCCCCCACCAGGTGGGCCTGCTCTTGAGGATTCCCAAGGCTGGACAAGGAGCTGGACATGGACCCTCCAGCCCTAGGCAAGGCTGGGCCAAGGGAGGGACTAGCGTAGCAGGGCTGCGGGGTGAGACAGGCAGTGTGTGGGAAGGGACACAGATGGGCTGGGACATGT